ACTTCATTTACCAAAGCTGCTGTTCACTTAAAGACAAAGTCCATCCTCCTGTCTTTGTTAACAAAGAGTTTAATGACGCGGTTGTTCAGAACATCGGTGCGGTTCAGTTCCAGCCGGAGTCCTCCTGCGAACGTGTTCTTTGAGTTGTAGATCCACTCTGGTCTCTCCAAAAGTTTTCAAAAGCACGTAGCTTGTGCGTGTCCTGTCGTGTAGCTGCCTTGGTTAGCGTAGCGTAGCTCCAAACACCAAGAGCTCAGTTGCAAATGAAACGCATTCTTATACATAAAATGTGCAACGCTTCTCTGACGCTGTCAGCCAGAAATACCGTTCCATGCTGGGTCAGGGCTGCTAGCTGTGGGGTTGACCGACCCTTTGATACGATGTCCAGTTTTTCTGGAAATGTCCTTATCCAGAAATCAGTTCCTCCTCCTTCAGCCATTGAGTGTTAAAAAAACACAGCGAGGTTAAAAAAATGTATAAACTACACCAAGCAAAATGCTAAAAATGTCATAATTTCTTCCATATCTTTCAATTTGAACTCTTACTACTCCAACTAAGCTCTGATGGCTATGTTAAGTTTCGTTTCACAATAGTCACGTGCTCACCCACTGACCAATCACAGCACATGCTGCACCTCACTGCAGCGCTGCACCTGCAAACTGAGCTGCCCGTTAATGCTGATGTACTTGTAGGCCAGCTAGCAGGCTCTGACACGTCAAAGAATACGCCCAACATGTCAAACTAAAGATCTGATTGGTTGAAGACTATGACAATCAACAATATCGTCCCCATTCACTTAAACTGCACATGGATTCACTTGTGAGTCTGCAGGCCTCTGCCTCTGTTCTTACCTAGAGACACAGAGGTGAGATCTGATTGGATAAAAGCTCTACTTAAAACAAGCTGCACTGGAAGCAGAGCAGCTGAGGAAGACAGTAGCTGTGCAATGAGAAAATAAGATAATGGGGAAAATATTTTTAGAAATTACAATACATGTAGTGTATTTAAGAACAATTATAAAATAGCTATAACTTTGTGATTGTGTTTAGGCCAGCAGAGAAGGCTTAGCTGGCCCTGACGGCCCACCACTGCTTTATGGCCCCCATAGACTGTGAGAGCAACACTAGCTGAGTTGGCTCCGTGAAGCCTGACACCCCAGCACTCAGACACATGCTCTGCCTCTCCGTCCACAGCTAGTCTCCAGGAAAGGTCTGAGTCGGTCTCTGTTCACTGCCACCAAGAAGTGGTTCGGTGGAGGGAAAGTTCCAGAGAAGGGCATCAGTGAACCAAAGAGCACATGTGGCCTTTTGTAAGCATCACCCTTCATATGATTCATTTATGTATTGATACATTACCACCGTGAACACCATACGCATTGCTGGTTTGATCTTTCTCATCTGTGGTGTCAGATATCCCCCAGAAGCCCCTGAGCTGCAGATCAGGAAGATGGCCGACCTGTGCTTCCTGGTCCAGCACTACGAGCTCGCCTACAGCTGTTACCACACGGCCAAGAAAGACTTTCTGTCAGACCAGGCCATGCTGTATGCTGCAGGGGCACTGGTGAGAACACACACACATACACGCACACACACACACACACGCACACACACATCTTTCTGTGTCCTGATGAGGACCATGTGTTAACCCTTTAAACTCACTGCCTACTTAGGTATTTCTGCCTATTGTGATGTCATTTCTTGGAGTATCTTCAAATGCTTCATATCCCTAAAACCTGTACAACCTGAGCTAAAAGGTTATGCGAGTAATTAAACCATGTACATATACACAACATATTTTTCCTAAACAATTCTGAATGGAGAAACAACACAATAACGTTATTTGAACTATGACATCATCACAAGTGTACATTGTGGTCGACTTGGCTGTCAGCTGCAAAATAAATGAATGCTTTAGCTACCGTGGTTTTCATTTTAGATTGATTTTCACAGGGTAGTGCAAACAATGATCCATTTGAAAGTGTTTATAGCTTTAATTCCCCAAGACAAATGTTCATGGCACTCTGTCAAACATTTTCAGTTTTTTGTTTTAACAAAACTATTATTAAAACTTTGAAATGTATAATAGTTCATAAATTTGTTCTAATCCAACATATCTATAACTCTTAGAAGCTGTGACCTGACTAATATATTTCTAATACATATCTCTTGTGGTGTTCTTTCCCTTAACTAAGACTATAGATGTGATATACGCCAGAAGTGTAACAAATGGGCATCGTCAACTCATTTGCAAACTCCTAAGTCCCCGGTATATTCTCTATCTTGTACCTCTGCGTTAAGGCAGCGTGGTCTCAAGCAGGCCTCTCTAACAGCACGTTCATCATCAGATCCAAGGTTGTGACGTGTGTGTGTGTGTGTGTGTGTGTGTGTGTGTGTGTGTGTGTGTGTGTGTCAAGTTCGTGATCCTCAGAGAGAGTGTGAAACGGTGAAACTTACTTGGTGGTGCTTACCTTGTGAGCGAATGGAAAAGAATCCAAAATAAAGAAAGCTATCAGACCAGTCACAGCATCCCGTTTGACAGAACCCTGCTCTGCTTGAGTATTAAAGTCAGTTCCACAGTAATATCTAAAATCGGATAACACGAGTCATACCAGACCAAGTAACCCCTGAGTGGATTAAACCGAGCAATGGCGCGTTCCATTGCTTACCACCGCATGTCGAATTCTAATCATGACTTCTCTGTTCTTTCCTCCTTCCTTTCTTGTTCACTCCATCTCTCCTCATCTTCTGTCCACTCATCCTGACATCCTCTGTAGGAAATGGCTGCAGTGTCCGCCTTTCTGCAGGCTGGAGCTCCCAGACCTTACCCAGCACACTACATGGACACCGCCATACAGACGTACAGAGACGTCTGCAAGTATGACCTACTTCCTGAATGTTTTTCTGCCTGCTCTCAGTTTATCAGTTTTTGGGTAGCAGGCTAATTGTGCTAATGTGAGGTCACTTTCTTTGTGCACCCTAATGGGAGTTTCATGACCTTATTATGTCTAATTTCCTGAGTGGTGACACATGACAGCAGGGTTTTCAGCTGCAGTTATTCTCAAGGGTTTGGGTTCATAGATGCCATCTGAGAAGTTTTAAACTGTTGAATAAATTAAATAAATTGCAAATGCACCCTGTTTCCAGGCTGTGCGTGATCAGGTGCGCTCTTCGAGACCACTTTGAGACCTGGTTCAGAGATGTACATAGCTTTGCTCCCGTGCTGTTACTCCATCTACTGTAGTGATTCACTGAGTATGGAGAGGTGCCTCATAATATCCCTCCAACGTGTTTTCTCCCTTCTGCCCTCTACAGGAGCATGGTGCTGGCTGAGCGCTGTGCATTACTCAGTGCTGAGATACTCAAGAGTCAGGTTAAATACTCAGAGGCTGCAACTCTGCTCATTAAGATGACCAGCGAGGTGAGGAAGCCCTCGTCTTTACCATACGTATCATGATACAGGGGTTATCATTTATTTTAAATCTAATTTTAGGAAAACTGTCATAGGTTAAAGAACACATGCAGTAAATCTGAATAAAGAAGTTTACTTTTTTTATGCAATCAGAACTGTTGGATCTGCATTTGCATTGATCACTGCATGAAAATTCTAAATGTTTACAGTATAATACCGCAATACCCAAGAAATGCATACTGTCATGCAAAACTGAAGAAAATGTGAATGCAATTTCCAGATGACCTGAGAACTGTGGAAACTTTTAAAATGTTACCTTTTCATGCCAAATAATGGATTCACTTATGAAAGTAGATTTATCAAGTAAAATTGCAGTGGATTCATTCTGCTTGGACCTTTTTATTTCACTTCTATGTGCAGGACTCTGACCTGCGCAGTGCTCTGCTGCTGGAACAGGCTGCCCACTGCTTTATTAACATGCGCAATCCCATGGTGCGCAAGTTTGCCTTCCACATGATCCTGGCCGGTCATCGTTTCAGTAAAGCAGGACAGGTGAGCCTTTCAACCCCCACCCATCTAATGTCGTGGTCTAACCCAACACTGGTGCCCAGGTTTGTTCCTGTCAACGGGGTGGATTTCCTCTCTGAGACAAAGTTCCATCTTTAATCTGTATCACTTATACTTATTACTATAAATTATATATATTATCATTATATATATGATATCATGTTTTATTTTTATTATTGTTTATGGAGTTCTTGAGTTAATCACCGTGTGTCTTATGCCGTAGTTACACTTGTATTTTCAATGTGACTTTTGTGATGTGGTGCAGCAGATGGTGTCAGCTGTGTCCTCATATGTGTCCACACTTATCGGATATAATTCTTTGTCTGTAAAGCGGTGGATAAACACATTGCATTTCCTCTAAATTCCCCTTTTATTGGTGCTGCTTACCAGTCCTCTCTGCAGACTACTGTAAGTAGACTTGTTATATTGAAGAATAGCTCCTCACAAAGCTCTGCTAATTAGGTGATAAACACATTTATTTTGCTATACATTCTTCACAATAAAAGTCCCCTGTTATTTAACGGCTTTTAATTTTAAGCAGCAAATCAGGAAATGTAGTGTTTTCATCAGCAATACGTAAACAGAACTAAGATAGCAGGTCTCCTGCTGTGCTCCAGTTTTCCTCCTCTTCCCTTTGATAAAACAGAAGTAGTTGTTTTTGGTACCAAGGACGAACGATTGAAAGTCAGCGCTCAGCTTTAATCTGATGTTAAAAACCACAAACAAGCCAGAAATCTGGGTGTAGTTATAGATTCAGACCTCAACCTGAACGGCCATATCAAGACAATTACAAAATCAGCCTACTATCACCTGAAGAATATATCAAGGATTAGAGGACTTATGTCTCAAC